GCAGCTTTGAGCATGAGACAGACAAGTTCCTACTCTGGTGGAGGGTAGGAACAGACTACACCCATCCATCTGGTGGATGATCTTGTTGTCACTGAGAGTGCTCAGGACCCCCAGCCCCCAGCTTTACACCCCCTTCCCTCAGATACACACCAAACACTTCACTCCTATAGATCTTAGTTTCAGAGCTCAGGGTCTAGACTTCTTTACCCTTCGGGACAAGGCGTGTGGCATTAAGACTAGACAGATCCCGTGGTGTCATCTTTGGACTGATTCTCCAAGAACTTCAGGTTTCCTGAGAACTTATTAAGTTGAAACTCCTTCAGCGATTGGCCTGATAAGCATAGACCTGGTGGCACCAGTGACAAGAGTCTCACCACACCTCGTTAACAGGAGAATGGAGACATCACAGATCTCAGCTGGGGACTCTCAAGTGTAAACTACAGAGGTGAGAGGGGCAGAGAGGGGCAGCCAGCTGCCAGCAGGTGACTGGCATGGATCCTGTCTTGGTTGCAGCTCGCTGCCTGCCACCTGCAAGGAGCCCTGGAGTGAGTTATTAAACACAACAGACTAAAGTGAAGAAACACCATCTGCAATCCAGATGTTCCTTATCTGCAAGCAGCCAAGCCAGTTCTGCAGCTATGGGTCAGAGCCTGCTTGCCGCCAGGTGTCACAGGCCTGAGACCTCAAGCTAGCAAGCTCCTGCATATTGACATCCCATTCCGCACACACATGTGGAAACGGCCATTCTTGGCATGAGCATGCTCAAAAACTCCAAACCCTGAGCCCAGAAACAATCATGTCAAAAGAAACATCACAAAACTAGGGAACTCCTGAGCAGGCTGTGTGTGTGTGTGTGTGTGTGTGTGTGTGTGTGTGTGTGTGTGTGTGTGTGTGTGTGTAGCCTTTTTACTTTGAATCATTTCAGCTAAAGAAATCATCCTGTTTTCTGCTCGTTTTGGGGGGACAGGGCAGGGTCTTATGTAGCCCAGGCTTTCCTTGAACTGTCTGTGGAGCCAGGGATGACTCTGAAAGCAGATCCTCCTGTTTCCACTCCAGAATTCTGGGATGAGAGATATGCACCACATCTGGCTGGAAATCTTCCTACTACTGTGGGAGGGCAGCCTGAGGGAGACCCTGATTGCCACCCCAGCCCCTCGTATTCACTCAAGCAATGTCATCCCTTTCCTAAGAGGGGACGTAGCCTAGACTTCCTCCACAGAGTTGCAAAGAGGTACAGCAGAAGCCATAAGCCCTCATTCTCAGGCTGAGTCGCGGCTATTCTGAGTCCGCCTGCAGTCAGTCACACTGTGCAGCCTGTCTGCTGTGCAACAAGGAGCCCCTTGGAAAGGACAGCCGAAGTACTTAGAAGTGGGTGCGCCAGGTGAGTCCCCAGCCACGCACGCAATGTGACCACCACCTCGTGAGAGACCCTGAGCCAGGAGCACTCGGCAGCACAAGCTCAAGTAACTGTTGAAGCTTGGGGACAAAGTGTTATTCCGCTAGGGATGGAGAGCAAACAGCCATTGGACATCCTGGGCTGGGTCTTAGTCTTTCTGGTCCTGTTGAAAGCAGCTTTGAACTTCATACTTACAAGCCTGTGTCCACAGCTGAGCTGTAAGCCTGTGGCTCCTTTGATTGGCAGGTTGAATGTTAATATGGATTGAAGTCACACCTCAGTGTAAATTGTTGGAGAAGACAAGAGGTAGAGGGTGCAATTCTTTTCTCTAACATACCCACATATTGGTGAATTTTGAGGGGTGAGGGTCAACTTCAGGTTAAGAGTATATATGTATAAGTCCTGTGATATGTAATGGGGGCTAGAACCCAGGGCCTTGCACGTGCTAGACAAGTGTTAAGTCTTTTTTTTTTTTAATTAATCTATTTTTTAATGTGGATGGGTGTTTTGTCTCTGTGTGTGTCTGTGCGCCACATGCATGCAGTGACCCCAGAGCTCAGAAGAGTACATGGCCCCCTGGAGCTGGAATTACAGATGGCTGTGAGCTGCCATGTGGACCTGGGAATTGAACCTGGGTCCTTCGGAAGAGCAACCAGTGCTCTTAACTGAGAAGCCTCTCTTCAGCCTGAGTGGCAGGTCTTAAACATGCAAATCTGAGACCATTTTCTTCACTGTGTCTCTAAAGGCTGGCATATTTATGAGTATGTGAACAACTGCCAAGTCCTGATTTAAAACCACTCAAAGGCCCCCACCGCTGTAAGTAGAAAGGTCAGATTCTTTCTGACAAGACTCCTGGGGTCACCTGTGTACCCTGACCTTCTCAGACCAGCCCCTGTACTTCCCTCTTCCTGACGGGAACTGTGCCCAGCTCACTCATCTTTCCACTCCTATTAATCTCAGACATGACTCCCTCCCAGCTCCCACACTCAAAAGTCAAGGTCAACTATGCCCTGCTTCTTCCACCCTCCACGATGGATGCCTAAGGGCAGAGAGTGCGTGCATTTTCCTCAGCACGGCCCAGCACGCAAGCACTGGAGTCTGGGTTGAATGACAGGGTGCCCACTGCACGTGCCCAGCTACTGGTACCCAGACCCAGATCTGGAGAGCCCAGAAGGGTGACAAGGTCAATAGCCAGGATGGCAGGACAGGTGGGAGTCACGCCCACCTCGGGAGCAGCCTCGAGGGCAGAGTTGGCGCCTGGGCCTTCCCAGAAACAGGAATTTCTAGTCTAATGTTCTTCTCCTACTGTGCAGGACATCAGAGAGAAGCTTTGTCCAGCATCAAAACCAAGGAGTCTTTCAAACACCCTTCTACTGGTCACCCTGGAAACACAGCAGACAAGAACTACCTTCCCAGCTGGGGTGCTGAACTCCAGTTCTGCCTCCGCACCTGTAACTTGGCGATGTCCCCATCTCCATCTCAGCCTTCTGTCCCCTTCCAACACGTCTGGATCAATAAGACCACTGATTAAACAGCTCTTTCACTGGTCACTGTCCTCGCCTCCCCACGACTGGTTTGTGAATACCTTGCTCCTCAGCGCTGGCCAAGATGGTCCAGTCAATACTCAGCAAGAGCCGATTGGTGTCCACTCACAACCTTGGCGCTCCTCTTCTGTCCCCAAATTGCCACTAAGCTCCTCTGGAGCCCAGAGGCCCAGGAGGGGACCCAGCCAGTTCTCAGGACTGATTCTTCTCATGGCTGTGTGCTGTGAAGCCCACCAGTGCCTGGGCCACAGCACACACCAAGTGTTCATAAAACCAAGTCAGGACAGTTGCGGACGTGAGCCCAAAGTGAACAAGACTTTCCTTCCCTAAGCCTCTTGGTGGGGACAGGGTTCGAAGTCCAGCAGAAAGCAGTGTCTCCCTCACCTCACTTCCAGGGACTGGTTTTTAGTGGGGTTGTTTTGTTTCATGTGGTACCGAGGATGGAAGCCAGGGCCTTACACGTTGACCCACCGCAGAGTTCCGCTGTCCCAAGACCCTGACTGTGCACCCTTATTGCGTACCTCTGTAAGGCCAGCTCTGGCGACAGCACAGTGGCAATAGCTGGCCTTTGCTGAGAGCTCCCCAGAAGTCCTCGGTCCTGGTCACCACATGCCCAGGCTCCCTCCCCGTCAGTGTGCTACAGAGAACACGACCAGGTGGGGAGTACACCTGCAGACAGGCTGCCATTGAACAGTTCAGGGGAATGAAGCCCACCCGGCTCAGAGCATCTCCATGTGGGTTTACACCAAACCCACACCTGCACACTCTCAGACGCCCTGATGACAGCCAGCTGTGTATGCACCAGGAGTACTCAGGGATGCCAGCTGTGTGCAAGACATCAAAAGACAGAGAGAACTAGAAAAGGGAGGAAGGAAGCCATCCGTGTCCACAAACACACACCAAACCCCTGTTAACAACACATTACAGACATGTAAGGGCACACTTGGCATTAGCAAAGGATTATGGTATACCGCTAGCCCACAAGGCTGCAGACTAACACGGACGGTTTTGAGCCCTGCAGTTCACAGCCCTAACACCAGAATTCTTACACCGACACATACAATAATCTTTGTAAATAAATATGTAAATATTTAAGAACCATACCATTGAATGTCTTGACTGTGGCATTCTTTGGGAAGAAATAAAACTGAAATGTTGCAAAAGATTTTCTGACATTACAAAACAAATTTCCTGGAACACCCCCCCCCCCCCGCAACACACACACACACACACACACACACACACACACACACACACATGAAAAGACCATATTTGGGGGGCGTTGTTCCCCAGGGGCAAGCATAGGAATTTTGGGTGTGCCATGAGCTTCCACTCTCAGACCTTACAAAGCGGGTGGTGGGGAGGGATTGTGCTGGGTCACCAACCCACTGACTGTACCCCAACTACCCCATCAGAGGCACAGAAACAACTTTATGGTTGTTGGTCCTAGAGAGAAACTGGTACTAAAGTCCTGGAACTCATTATGTGTAGACCAGGTTGGTCTTGAACTCACAGAGATACACCTGCCCTGCCTGTGCCACCATGCTGGGCTCAGAGCAGCTTTTAAAAACCACACTGATGTAGAGGAAATGAAGCCGGTAGTCCTATCATGCTGCTTCAATTTTCACTATTAAACTTCAGGAAAATTTTGTGTGGCTTTGTTTTTGGTCCCCACCTCAACCCCATCTCCCTCAATTCCAGCAGCTTTTTAAAGTCCATTCAACTGCCTGTGTGTGCACAGGCATTTAAATTCCCTGGAGTCAGAGAAACCTAAGTTAAGTGCCTGGCTAGGTGGCCTGCCAGCTGCATGCCCTTAGAGCACAGGTCTCAGTTTCTCATTCCCCAAACGGGCTAGCCTACTCAGGCTGACTGGTGAGTTCTGGGCCTCGAGCCGGGTGGAGCTGCTTCCTCCGAAGCCAGCTTCTTTTCAGAGTTAAAGGAGGCGATGAGCAGAATGGCAGTGCCCAGTGACACATGGGGTCCCGCGGGCCACGTGCAGGATCCTAGGGGACAAATGTGGAGTCTGAGCCCCTGCCTCACACCAGATCGGTCAGACTCACCAAGGTCTCTACCTCGTCCCTTTCCAGCGCCTTGTACCGGTGGCCCTGACCCAGGAAGACCAGTTTCTGTAGAAACTTGAGGAGCCTCCCCATGGTGAGCGGGTGTCCAGGCTGCTCCACGGCCGGGCGTGGGGCGGGTCGCAGTCCCTGCCCGCGTCCCTGGGGCCCAAGCGAGGCCGCGGCTGCTGAGCGCCCTGGCTTCCCGGGCGTCCCGGGCGGCCAGGTTGCCCGGGAGCTGTCTACCTGGTCCCCAGGTGAGCTCCGCCCCTGGGCAGGGCTGCAGCAGCGCCGCCCTCTGCACAGCTGGCCCGCCCCGCCTGCGCCAGGACCCCAAACTCCCAGGGTCCACCGCAGGGGCTCTGGAAGAACCAGGAACACACTGTGTGGTCTCAGAGCTGTGGTTCTTGTCCAAACCTGCCAGAGCATAAGAATCACCTGGAAGGGGGAAGGTCCTGAGCCAAAGCCTTACTTGGGGTAGTGTAGCTCTGGGCCAGTTACCTGGCCTCTCTGAGCCACCTGGCTGCATCTGTCATTGAAATGGAGCAGAAGGCTGAGACCTTACCTACAGGAGCCTTACCTATACTGGTTACCTAGGTGTGCCCTTGGGAGTAGGGAAACTGGGGGTACCACAGCCACCTGTGGAAGATCTCCAACTTTTCTGTTCACCTATAGAGCAATCTTGTCCCTTGTAAATGGTAAGTGAGTGTTGCATGCTTCCTGAATCTTTGATTATTGCCCTGCCAAATAGCCGTCAGGACAACACCCACTTCCCAGGAGAACTGGGGGTCCTAAGGGCAGGGTGATGGGGGCATCCTGCAGGGCTCAGCACAGAGCATGCTTGTGTCAGCAGCATGCTGGTACACTCTGGTGGGAAGAGGGGTGTCCCACAACTCCCAAAGGCCAGGAGCACATGTGCCTTGTTACTGTTTTGGGTTGCCCAGTGTGTGCTGAGGAAAGCCAGAAGGCTTTAGGGTGGACCAGGGTCCCTAACGCCACAGAGCAGAGGTGGCCCTGGAGGAGAAGGCTGGGCCATGCCCCATTCTGGGTTTACTTTTGACTACAGGCAATCAATCAATTAACTGCATTTGTCTGTGTAACTAAACTGTCCCCTTTGAGCAAATATCTGCCACCTGCCTCACTGGCTCCCCCAAGCGGTGGCCACTCCAGTCCTGTCAGCCTGATGGGACACTTCAGTGGGCTTCACATCACCCCATGTCTTTCCTCTCTTTAAACCAAAGCGCCTCCATCACGCTGCCCATTCCCCACCACAATGCCTGCTCTGATTGTGAGTTCCCTCCCACAGCATGAGACCTCCAGTCCCGGTTCCAAAAGAGAGAAACTACTGAACTCCCTTGACTTTGCAGTCCAGACCACGTACTTTCAGAGTGTGTGAGCTTGGGTGACTTTTCCCACCTCTCTCTACCTCAGTTTACCCCTCCACGAAGAGGGAGGGGCACTACCTGCCCACCTGTGTGAGCTTGGGGTCCTAGAAGGAAACGGCACCCTCAAACTGATCTAAGAGCTGGAGAGAGACTGTCCCCAGAGATGTGGACACAGGTAGGGGAAGTGGAAAGGTTCTGAGATAGCAAATAGGGTGAACTGGCTTCCGTGCATGTAGGGCCTCCAGAGCAGGCACCTAGAGAGGGGAGAGCCGCTGTGTGCAAGGGGAGCTTCAGGGGAAGACAAGGCTCTGAGCAGAAGCCAGTAAGTCATCGGTGCCTCCTCCTGGGCTGAGTTCCTAGAAGGGTAAGAAGGCATTCTGTGGCAGCAGTAGAGAAGCTTCCAGAACAAACATCAGGGTCTGGTGTGTGGCTGGTGAGTGCTTGTGCAGTGGGGAAACTGTGCCACTGCCTAGCACTGCCCCACATGGGTTCTTAGGAGAGTCTGTGGTTCATGTAGAGTACCCTTGGGAACTTGGCTCCTTTATCTCCTGGCTCTTCTGCAACTTGCCTCCTGTGGTTCTAAGAAGGATGCTGTGGTGGTGTGGAACCTCTCGCTTTCCCAGGGGGTGTTGCTGACGGGACAAGGCAGACACTGACGTCAGCGGCAATGGGTTGGTTGGTCAACACCTTTCCTTCATGGCCCAGTTCCTGGGTCCCATCACCACAGCCCCATTTCAACCAGATGTGTGGAGGGTAGAATTTGTGGACAGGCATGAGAATGCACAGTGTGAGATGGGACAGTGGGTGGTGGATGTCATGGAACCCCCCTAAAACGAAGCAGATCATGAGAAGATCGGCATGGTGACTGGAAGCGGCTGGGTGGGCCCCCTCAGGCTTTAACGACTGAAGTTTCAGTTTGTGTTGTGGTGAGAACATGTAGCCCGCACACACCTCTGCTAGATTTTAACTTACTGAACCCTTATCACTGCTGTGCAGCCCACGTTCTTAGGCCATCTCCACGGCAGTTAGCTACAAGCAAAGGGTGCTGTTTGTAAGCTGACTCTGTCAACTGGAACTTTCTGGTCCTGTGGCTTTTTTCTTGGCAGCCACATGATCTGACACAGGGATGGGGGGGGGGCGGAGTTTTGAAGTTTCCTTTCCAGCCATTCTCCTGTCCCGTCTGAGTTTACTCTTCCCATATTAGTGTGTCTGGCTGGCCTCTCTCCACCTCACGCCTCATGCCCGTTGTTTGAGGAGAGCACTCCCAGTCTTTCATCTTTGACTTTGATCTGGAGAAGCAGGGCTCTTGTACGGGTGTCCCCAGCAGCGACACCTGGGGCTTCTGCTGCTTCTCAATCTTCCTTCTTCGTCTTGTCACGGGCATACCGGGGTCAATCCCACAGACTCTGAGGGTTTTTATTTTTCCTTTGAGAAGTTTTGATTGTTTGATTTCTGTCTTCACCTTGGAAGAATCTAGAACCCACATTTTAAGGAATGTCCTGAGACAAAGCAACCAGCTGGGAACCCCTGAGGTGTGCAGGTTGGAGATGGCCCTCACAGCTGGACCAGGGATGAGAGCCAAGGGCGGGGCCTGACCAGAAACATGTTGCTTTTCCTGAAATGTCTGCTCCGGACACCTTGAGCAATGAGTGAGGTCACACTGGTCAACTCCCTTCACTCTTTCCTTGGAAGTGGAGTCCTTTCCTTCGGCTCTCAAGAATGCATCTCTCAGAGCAGGCTTGACACAGTCTCAAGGCACCTGAAATTTATTTGGTCATAAACTGCACTCCCGGGTTTGACAATTGAAGGTGTCTTCTTCAGAAAGGGTGCACTGTACACAGGTGTATTCCAGACACATTTTTAAGTTGTAGGAATGAGCTGGAAGTGGTGGTTCCTTGTTCAAATACCTCCCAGCTTGTGTGTTAGTACCGTGCACACACAAAATAATACAAGCATGGAATCGGGTGTGGCACACCTATAATCTCAGCACTGGAGAGTTAGAGGCAGGAGGATTGCTATGAGTTTAAGGCCGGGCTGAGCTACATACGTGTGAGACCTTGTCTCAAAACAACAGTAAGAATATATTGTACAGATGAAGAAAGTTTAGTCACTGAAGGAAACTCATTGATTTAACACATTTGTGTGTGTGTACATGTGTGTGCACAGGCATGTATGTGTGCATGTGTGTGGAGGTCAGAGGTCAACCTTGTGTGTCTTCCTCAGTCAGTCCCCACCTTGGTTTTTGAAACAAGGTCTCCCACTGGCATGGGCCTCCCCAGTATGACTGAGTGGCTGTTGGGCCACGGGAATCTACTTCTCTTTGCCTTCCGGGCACTGGGATCACCAAGGTCTCCTCACATCTTGAACTCTGTCCCCGTCTGCCTGTGTCTCCTGAGTGCTGGGATTAAAGGAGTTCACTGGCTCTGCCCCACCTGGTATTTTTTTTTTTTTTTAATTTTTAAATTTGGGTATGGGGGATTGAACTCAGGTCTTTGCTCGCATGGGAAGCACTTTGCAGACTGAGCCACCTCCCAGGCCCTCAACAGTACTTCTTAAGCTGTGGTGCAGGGTGGTGGAGAAGCAGCCATGAACACAGCGAGCCAGCGTGCTCTGGCCCTGTCCTGTCTAGTGGGCGAGCCGGGCTGCTGGGAATCTCTGTGGTGCAACACGAGGCAGTGAGGTAGCGGGCTGAGTAACGGCTGGGTGAAGACAGTCCAGTCCTCAGCTGTCGTTTTTTGTCACTACTGTGACAAAAAAGCCCGACAAAGACAGCTTGAGGAAGGGTTTGTTTGTTTGTTTTTTACCCACAGTTCCAAGAAATACATTCGACCATGGTGGGGAAGTCCGGAGAGTGACTAGCTGGTCACATTGTCAGGAAGCAGAGAGAGATGGATGTTGGTACTTGGCTGATTTCTCTGTTTTAGGAAATCCAGGAGCCTAGAACCCCAGCTTGGTGCTACCCATATTTAGGGAGGTTCTTCTCACCTCAATTAACCCAGATAATCCCTCACAGACATGCTCAAAGCTTGGTTCCATGGTAATGCTAAATCCTGTCATGGTAGCATCCCATTCGGGAGTGGGCCTTTGTCTGGAATGACGATAGATGCACTTATCCTAAGCCTCTGGGGGTAAATTCAGCCTGAGCTGACTGGAGGTCCTTGTTATGGGGCCTTCACCAGAGAAGACTGCTCGGACAAGGGTTTAAGCCAATAGACAGTCTTTATTAACTGGCCAGCGACTACACTGGGTGTTTGGGATTCCACTGTAGCACTGAGTCTTTCTCAGGATGAGCTTTTAAGCACAGAAACCATATTCTGGGTTGACATACTTCAGTTAACAAGAGCAGGGAGCCAGAAGCAGAACTACAGAAGCCAAAAAGCAAGGTTAGAACATTAGAGACTTTCCCAGAACTATGGACTCCGATGGAATAGGTCTTTGTTTTAGTTTTGGCAGGAGGTACCGCCTATGTTCTGAGTTTTACAGCCTGAATGGCACTTCCATCATGGAGTTAGTTGTGTTAAGGTCTCTTGGCCTACTAAGTCTGGGACCCTGTTACAGTTCTGACTCCAGAAGTGACAGAAAGGCAAATGGGTGGGTGAGGAAGGCTCAGAAGCTGAAATGTCATCAAGAAAGATCTGGAGCTACCCAAACTTGGAAGGAGCAAGAAGGACCCTACCCCAGAGCCTGCAGAGAATGTAGTCCTGACAGTAC